TCTCAGTTAAGTCTAGATCTCGATTACACCACTGTGAAATCTTGAGCAAAAAAATTTACTATCTCGGAAGCCATAAAAGATAGGGTTCTCGAATTTTTACTTTCCCACATTTCGAAAACCTAATTCAAACCGAGTGCTGCAAAAGACTAGGCCCCTGTAAATTATCATATTATTCTTCTGCTCAGATGTAATTCAAGATACCAAGTCGTTTCTCGCAACGTTTCTTATGAAATGAGACTTTTTCTGACTAAAAAATCTGCAAAAACCCACTTTGTCTTCTGGTGAAAGCAGTATACAAGAACCACCAACAAATAGCGACAACATAACCGGAAGAAACACAAGGCCATGCAGCAAGCCGAGTGCGATCGATAAGAAGACAGTCTGAAAATGCAAAAAGAAAAGCTGAAGAGTTTTTTAAATCAGCCAAATAAGAAAACTAGGATTTGCAGATACCTTGAAGAAGGTAACTATCATATAGGCAGGAACATCTGCCAGGACGACGACCGCCAGGATAGTGGACATAGCTCCCTGAGTAACAGGCCATCCAAGTGCACCAAGCGCTGTTTTTACACGTTTCTCAGGCGTACTCTCGGCAGAAATAACGTAGCCGTATGTGATGTGCGCCGAATAGTCAACCGAAAATCCGATTGACATAATTATTGTAATCATCGAGATCGCATCCTGGAATCAATAAAACTGAGACTTAGGATTTGGATATCCAGTGATATGTTTATCGTGACTATCAAAGTCGCAAGCTGGAGGCAACAAATGATATTCAATGACATGATTGTTGTTATAATGAAGACTGCATCTTGGGACCAACAAAACTAAGAACCCAGAATTTAAATAATACGAAAAGAAGTGAGACAGAGAAAGTTAAATTCGATTTGGCTGTAGGATGCAGAGGTTAGATGTACTACTAAACAATTACCTCTCAAATGAGGGCTGTGAAGGGGCAAAAGACCGTAGGATAAACGAAGTTTGCTAATGCAACGACGCAAAACTCGAGAACAGGACGTGCTACGTGTTCTACCGTCAAGCGATGGACATAGCTCGAAAATTAGTAGAATCAGCAAGAAAAAATGGTCACTCGAATGCCCTTTGAAAAGATGAAAGCACAATTCATAGAAGTATTTACTGCTACCAAAAAACTCATACAACATATGACTGAGGAAGCTGGCATAGATGTTGGCATTTGAGCGCAACCCCGGAAAATTGAAAAATTCGGATCCTCACATGGC